TTTGTTTTGTTGGTGGCAGCAGTGGGAGAGGACGGGCGGCTGGGGAGATCCATAGCTGAGCAAACCGAGTGACTGTCTTTGGATCCCACCACACCAGCCCCTGGCAGGACGTCAGTAGCCGGATGCTCAGCGACACGATGGAGATGAACAATTTTTCCCCTCTCAGAGAAAGCACTGATTGGTTCCAGAGAGCAGCAGGGGTCACAGGCAACGTTCACTGTGTCCAGCAGGGGGCGACCAATCACTGTTTTTGTAGGGTTTGCTACTCCAAGACAGGGCAGCTGGGTCATCAAAAGGCAAAACAAATAAATAAAGAGGCGCTGATGCTTAGAAAGTGGAACCATCTCCGGTCCCATCTGTAACAGATTTCAAGAAGGTCAAATCTGGGGGTGAGAACGCCCCGGCACCGTCCTTTGAACTGCCCCGTAGAAGGAAACGAGGGGAAATCACCCAGGAACCAAAGGTCTGAGTCTTGGAGACCCCGAGGACATACAAGTCCATTGCTGACGAGGGTAGCTGAAGAGCCAGCGCTTCACCAGCCCCCAGCACGTTGCCAGGATCAAGCCACACAAGCGGAGTCCAAGCGCGGCTTCTTCCAAGCTGCCTGGAGCGACTGCGGTTCCCTCCGGCCCGGCCCGCATCCCAGGCAGCCAGCGGCCCGTGAAGGTGAGTCCAGGGGTCTGGCAGCTGCAGGCACTTGGCTGTGGATGGCCCGAGGGAAGGTGGGTACCCAGCAGGGCAGGAGATGGGGCGAGAGACCTCATGGAATCGTGGCTTTCTGAACCCAGACGCGATGTAGTGACGTGGCAGCGCAGCAGTGCAAGTGGGAGGCAAGCAGGCAGGGGCAGGGGCTGGGTAACCCTTCTTGCCCCCCAGCTCTGCTAATGCCCCTCCTGCTACCCGAGTCCTTCCCTCGTCCAGGCTCCATTCGAACCCTGCTGTGGATCCCGCTGAGAGCACCCCATGCCCGCTGCCTGTGCCCCACACCTCTCTCCAGGCTACAGAACCGCCCTTCCAGCTCTACGCCAGTCCTGGAGCAAACCTAAAATCTACTGTGCGACGGAGCAGACCACAGCCCTCTGCCCAGCCTTTCCGTCTTCCAGGCCATTACAAATCCCCAAACTGCTGAAGGGTGCTTCAACCTTGCAGGAAAGCCCCCTGAAAAAGCTTCCGGCCCTGCCCCCAGCAGCTGGAACAAGCTCGCCCCACACCCAGCCACGGGACACAGCCACCGGCCCCGCTGGGAGAGTCAGGCTGTCGGGTGGGGAGGTGCCCAGAGGGAAGAGATGAGGGCTCCCCCCTTCCTGGGAGGCGCCCCAGGGATTTTTCTGCTTTCTCTCCACCCCCGGGGCAGAAGGGAAACCCTGGCTCGGCACGAGGTGGGGCAGAGGCTGACAAGAGCAGAGCAGCATGTGGATTTGGGCGGGAGACAGCGCAGCGCTGGGAGAGTCAGGCTGTCGGGTGGGGAGGTGCCCAGAGGGAAGAGATGAGGGCTCCCCCCTTCCTGGGAGGCGCCCCAGGGATTTTTCTGCTTTCTCTCCACCCCCGGGGCAGAAGGGAAACCCTGGCTCGGCACGAGGTGGGGCAGAGGCTGACAAGAGCAGAGCAGCATGTGGATTTGGGCGGGAGACAGCGCAGGAGCTGCGGACTGAACCCTGGACGCGGCTCCCGGCCCCA